ATCCAATTAATCTAAGTAATCAAAAATAATATTTGTGGAAATAGCATTTATATATTTTCCATAAAAGTTAATTACTAGCAGTTTATTCATCAAAGAACAGAAATTATTATACATAAAGAGTGACGTAATGGAAGTGATGTCACAAGTAATAATGAAGGGACAGTGGGGGTAAACAGCGTGGGTCGGGATCAATACCGTGTAGGCGCCACGCCGCCCCCTCCCCCTCCCGATCACTCTCTCTCTCTCCCTCTCTCTCTCGCTCTCTCTCTTTCTCTCTCCCTCACCCTCTCTTCTCTCTCCCCCTCAGTCTCTTTCTCTCACTCTCTCTCCCTCTCCCCTCCCCAACTCTTTTTCTCTCTCTCCATCTTCCCCCTATTCCTCCCTTCTATCTCACCCTCTCATTCCCTCTCCCTCTCTTTCTCTCTCCCTCTCTTTCCCTCTCCCTCTCTCCATTACCCCGAACCAAACTTCCTAAACCATCATCAACTAGTATTTATATGTTATATGTCATTGATATGACGATTTTTACTTTTTTTTTAATTCTTAACGTTTAATTCGTGAACATTTTTTTATCTAATACAAACGTATTTATTAACCACATCAATATATATATACGCCCTCTCTTGATTTTTAAAATAAACCGAAACTGTATTAACTTTAAGGCACGGACGGATCTACGGAGGGGGGGGGCTTTCGGGCTGAAGCCCCCCCCAAAATGGTAAAATATAAACATGCTTTATCGAAAACAATATTAAAAAAGTATCTTTTAAAGTATTATTGTTCGTGTAATTACATTTAAAAGGGCTTTAGGAATCACTTAAACATCATTTCATATAGGTAGTTAGTTTCTTTCTTTTTTTCCGAAGTAATTATCGTTATTTTTATGAAAAAAACAACTTTCGGGCTGAAGCCCCCCCCCCTCCCAAAAAAATAAATCTTGGATCCGCTAGTGCTTTAAGGTACTATTTCGCTGGTACTGCCTTGCTGAGGATCCTCAGTTGATTCGGACCGAAGAAAGATGAGTTAACCGGAGAGTTCAGACGGTTACACAAAGCCAAATTGCGTGTGAATTGTGTCCGCTTAATATAATTGAGGTGATAATATCGCGACGAATCTAATGGGTTTGTAAAATTGTTGGGTATAGTAACGAAAAAATTCCTAAAATGTTAATATTTGCTGTTTCGAATGTTAAACGTCCGAGGGGTAGACCGAAATAAAGATGAGAAGATTGCGTTAAAGTCGATCTGAAGGGACTGGGTTTGGACGGCGAACGATGGAGGAAGTTATTATTACATTTTGTAGTGTCGGCATCGAGCCTTCGGGTTCGCTAAGCCTTTTATTAGTTTATTTATTATTATGTTCGCACAGTTGTTGGTATTTTTTTTTATTTTCTTTATTTGCTTTTGGGATATACTTAAAAATATCTGAAAAAAAAAACAATTGGATATATTACAATTTGTATACATTAAACATTAGAGGAAGGAAGTTGGCCTTCATAACATAGGTACATTTCTAGAACTTTTTCAGCTTGAAATGAATGTTAAAAACTGAAAAATACTATTGATTTCTAAGTTTGTACAACCTCCAAATAAAAATAAAACGTTTTCACAATCTGAATATGTAAAAATTTCTATAAAATATATTTATAGTTGTAATTATTAAATATTTATTTTCCAACTTTATTGTAAAAAATGTATAAGAAAATCTGGTGAAAATGAAAGTTTCGACATGAAGGGTAAATGAATCATAAAATCCAAGGAGATGTGTATCTATATTATTATTCCTGAATATGAATGAAAATTTAAATAATAGGAATATTTAGGTCGTAATAAAATAGTCACCTATATCTATAAATAATACAGGTCATAGCTTAGTCAGCTAGTCGACTTTTCTTATTTTCTTAACCTATTTTATTAATTTATACAGCTTATTTGTTATCAATTTTTTTTTATGTACCTCAAATTATTGGGGTAGCGAAACAATATTCTAGCTCCTTCCAAAGAGGAGGGTTTGATCGCCACTTACAAGTCTATGATGCACACTATATGATATATAGTGTAGATAACTACCTATACGATTTATAGAACTTTTTGTAACTTATTTTTAAGTAAATTATTACGGAATATTGGAAGTAGAAGTGACTTCCCCTTCCCCAGTATCGGCGCCTATGTATTAGTCAATAGCAGGTGGAAGACAATATGATACCCATGATTTCCGAGCGTGTTTAAGCGTTGCCCGCTTTAATATTCTCGAGTCTAGCGGTGTCGCACAGAGGTGACGATTACGAATCTATTACTGACAATAAATTATTTCCTCCTCGTTCAGACTAATCTTTTATAGTTAAAATACTCATTGAATGATTTGTAAATCATTTTTTGTCTAATACTGACTTTTTTATATTTCATGAAATTTTTTATTTTTATTATTTAAATTTACAACTGTATAATGATAAATACAACTAGTAAATATGAAATAAGTAACTTGGCTTGTACAACATGAGGAGAAACAACCTATTGGTAGCACTCCAATTATATTTCTATATTAGAAGGTCCCGAGACCATCTTCTTTTCAGACGCCTCGGAGGGTTATCAGGAACAGAAGAGGAAGCAAGGATAGAAACGAGAGGGTTAGGATGATTCTGAAGTTTATTATGGAAGGATAGGTATCTGGATTGAGCTACATCGGAAACATATGGTACATTAAGGTCGTTATGGATGATTTTATTTGTGACAAAGTAGGGAGCATTGAGAATTTTACGAAGGATTTTGGATTGTAGGGATTGGATACGAGAGGAATTTGATGGTTTAGTAGAGCCCCAAAGCTCGATCCCGTAAGTCCAAATAGGCCTTATTATAGTAATATATATGAGTCTTTTGTAAATAGTGGGAAGTTTAGCGCGTTTGTCTATTAAGTGCTACAGTAGTCGAAAACGTCGGGCGGTTTCTAGTCCTATGAGTCAAGTATATTTCATGAAAATTTAAAGTCCAAATACAGCATTTAATTATCACTATATATAAATATAACATAGTAAAATATCATTTAGACGGAGATTACCGATTTCTTTTTCATTTCCTTGTCTATTATTAAATAAATATATTCCTATCCGGCATTACAAGCAAATTCAATAGTTAACGCTATATTTTTTTCTTGTAGTGGCCTGTAGAATCCATGATTTTTTTTTCAGATTATAATAAAAAAAATTTCTTTGTTTCTAATAAATAATAAGACGAAATTATTAATTGTTCATAATTTCGCGCGATGTGAATAAATATTATACAGTCAAAGTGACAAGAGTTTGATGTTCTATGTCTGCCATGATTAAAAAAAAAATTAGATGGATAACAATAATAAGATATTTCAATATTACCAACTAATCTGTGTTTAGGTTTATTATATAATCTTTTCAGGACCTAATTGTTAAGAATCTATAGAAGAAGAATACGGGGGAGAGGGGAGAGCTTTCGGGCTGAAGCCCTCTCCCAAAATGGTAAAATATAACCATGTTTTATGGAATTTTTTTTTTTTAAATACCTCGTAAAGTATTATTGTTCATGTAATTACATTTAAAAGGACTTTAGGAATCACTTAAACACCATTTCATATAGGTATTTAGTTTCTTTCAGTTTTTCTAAAGTAATTATCGTTATTTTTATGATAAAAAATTCTTTCGGGCTGAAGCCCAAAATTAAATCCTGGATCCGCTATTGCCAGTATCTTATTAAAGTTCAAAAAAGGTTATGTCTTCGAATGCATAATAATCTTTCAAAACATTGATTAATTGTCCTAACCTTTAATTTAACCTAATTTTTGATTTGCATACTCATTCAAATAAATGTTAAAAAGGCAAAAGATCTATAAAGGGAATTGAAAAACAAAAGAGAGACACGTTTTACGGGATTCATAAATATCAAGTTCTCTGTAAATAAAAAATGTCATTTTCTGTTTTCTTTTTCTCGTCATCCTCATTCTTTTCGATTCTGTCCTCAGGATCCATAAAACAAGAACCAGAATTAATAGAGGTGGCACTAGCGGATCCAGGATTTAATTTTGGGGGCGGGCTTCAGCCCGAAACCTTCTTTTTTCATAAAAATAACGATAATTACTTTGGAAAAACAGAAAGAAACTAACTACCTATATGAAATGGTGTTTAAGGGATTCCTTAAGTCCTTTTAAATGTAATTACACGAACAATAATACTTTAAGAGGTATTTTTTAAATTTTTTTTCCATAAAACTTGGTTGTATTTTTTCCATTGTGGGGGAGGGGCTTCAGCCCGAAATCCCCCCCCCCCCGTAGATCCGCCCGTGAGAGGTGGTGGTATAGGATTCTCAGTGAGTCTAAAATAATGGACTCCGCCATGCTCTGTCACATTTCTTTCAACACCTAGATTTTCCAAAAAAACAACAAAAATAGCAGTTGAAAGAGGAATTTCCCCTCTACTTCCAAACCAAAGTTCTCGTATAGCAAAATTTCTCCTTTAGATACAAAATGTATTTTTATATATTTCCTTCTTCTCTATTTGTATTTGGAGATAGTTCGTTTCATATAAATTTGATTATACCCCCAAATATTCTTTTCAACTAGATCCACGGAGGGAGGGAGCTGAAGAATTTCTGAGAAATTGAAAGACATCCAACAGGTTATTGGTTATTAAGGTGCTTTTAGACGTTTCACAAACTATGGGAAAAACAAAGATATAATTAGTTGTTTTCTTATGCTAGTGTTTTCGATGTTCTCTGCCGGTAACAAGAGAAATAAAAAAAATTTTTTTTTATTGTAAAGCAGATAATCACGAAAATGATTTAACAATAGGCCTTAGTACATTTTGAAAACTTTGTTTAGATGTTTTAAAAAGAGTTTGCATTTATAATAATAATAAAATTTAAAATCTATTCTAACTTTTGTAAATGTAATGTATAAAATGATATGGTAAACAATAATAATTCATTAGTTTATTTTAATATAATTATATTTTATTTCCATTTAATATTAAATAATAGAAAAATAATAACTTTCAAATTATAAAGGGCTGCACTGTCAAAATAAAAACATTATGAAAGCATTGATAACAGTATACAATCGTAACCTCCTGTACTTTTAAAATTAATCATCAAACCTAATGATAGAAACTGACTTTTAAATATATATAAATGGTTACGTTCAGTAAGTGTTCATTAAAATGATGCCTACTGTTAAGAATTTATTAGATGTGGATATTTTAAAATTCTAGAATAACTGACATCTTGTTTTTTTTCTTTAGCTCAGTCAGATTTTGAAAATCTTATTTATGATGATCATGAGTTCCAAATACCAAAAAGGAGTGTCTTCAATCCTCCAGACATGAAAATATGGGAACATTCAGAAGCTTATATGGTGATTTTCTAGTTAAATTATAACTTCTCTTAATACTTTTAATAATAAATCTAATGCTGTACTTCTCTGTAAAGGAATATATGGGATTTATTTTGGCCCTGAACAAAGAAGCCGCTGGCATATCCAATACTGGGCTCTATTCTAGATCTGGTGTTTTAAATGGCATCGTATACGTTTTAGATCAATTATGGTTATGGATCGACGATATCCCACCTGTAGCACAACCACAACGATTTGGAAATAAAGCTTTTAGACAGTTTTATACCAAGTTAAACGAGGTAGTTATTCCTAAAATTTATACTGAATTATTGTATACCTAATCACAAATAATAAAAGGAGACAAAAGGATTAATTATTTTAGGAAGGCACTGCTCTTCTTGAACTATCAACCCCGATTGTTTTTCACACAGCTCTGAAGGAAATTAAGTACTATTTCTTCGAGGGATTTGGCAATTCCACTAGGATTGATTATGGTACTGGTCACGAAATGTCATTCTGCATGTTTCTCTGTTGCTTATTCAAGATAGGAGCATTAAAACAATCTGACAAACAAGCAACAGTTTGCTACATTTTTAAAAGGTTAGTTAAATTGTTATTTTTGTTGGTTATTTGATTTAACATCTCCAATACTAGTTTTGATATTGTTGAAATATCAACAATAGTTCATTGATTCATTATGTCAATAGTTCATTGATTCATTATATCAATATTTCATTGATTCATTATATCAAGAGTTCATTGATTCATTATATCAAGAGTTCATTGATTCATTATATCAATAGTTCATTGATATAATTATGTGGTAAACTTTTATCAATATCCTTTCAATTTAATCGTTTAAACTTAAATTAAATTTCTTTAAAAACAAAAGGAAAATCAAGTAAGTAATATCAAACATAGGACTCCATCTGGACAAACGTCTAACTTGGAATCCTCATACCAGACTGAAACGACAAAAAAGCGCTCAAAGTTTCCGACTATTTCAGCACTTACTAGACAAGCGCTCTAACCTTTCATTTAGTTACAAAAGACTCATTCACATGAATATAATAAGACCTATTTGGATTTAAGGAGTTGAGCTTTGAGACTCCACTGAACCATCAAATTCCTCTCATATCCAATCTTTACAATCCAAAATCCTTAATGTTCCTTACTTGGTAACAAATAAAATAATCCATAATCCCCTGTATGTTCCCTATTTTTCCGATTTGTCCCAATTCAGATTACTATCCTTCCATAATAAACTTCAGAACCATCCTAATCCTCTCGTTTCTAACCTTCCTTCCTCCTCGATCCCTGGTAACCCTCCTAGGCGTCTGAAAAGTAGATGGCCTCGTATCTCATAATTTATATACTTTATTAGAGTGCTAACAATAGGTAGATTCGGGAGAGCCAGAGTCTTCACGTACGACTCCATACCAGAGGCACCTTCCCATGAGTTATTGTACTTATATAAAGATTGCAGAAAACACCCTACGATACTTCCTGCCTCAAGATTTTTCTTGCCATGTCATGTATTTCTCCGTATCACATTTGCTGAATGTATATTAATTTGAACAGTTGTAAATTTCATAAATAAAAATAAAAAGTAATATCAAAAGAACTTGTTACTGTGCCTAAGACTGGTTCATTTATAATTTATCTAATAATTATCAGATTGAATTATTGTCAGATTATAAAATATTTCAGACTGCTGAGGATTCCTTGTGAACAACTCAAGATAAGAAATTGAGCTCTATTTTTTTTACTTTCACTTACTCATACTTTTTTTTCCTTTATTTCTTATCTGGACATTTCCAACATACAGTGGAAGAGTAGATTATTCTAGAAATGTAACAAAGCAGAGAGGCAAATTTTTTTCCATGAATCAGCTATGAAATAAATGTGTTGAGGTCCGGATTAAAATCAGCACCACTAAACTTGAGAATAATAAAGGGGGAAATGTTTTGACTCACTTAACCACCTCAGCCTCTTCAATAGTGGATTTAAATAATTAAATAATATGTATTTTATCCCTATTCGATACTATTTTAATTAATTGAGTTGTTAAGTGAACACATGTTCTTTAAGCACATTTTGTCTTTTTTTTTTGGAGAGTGAATTAGATTGAGCTGTTAGATCTCTGATGTGTAATGCTCGGGTAAAATCGGCTGGAGTCGACTAATAGAAGTGTATTTGCATATGGATTAAAATATCTAAAAATCGGTCCGGCATATTGTTAGTGACGGAAATGTTTTTCATTTCATCCTCTCGGTAATGTGCTATTATTCGAATTTGTATCTTAACGCAACACCGTGTTAGAGAGGTGAAAAAGGAAAAATATTGTCGAAAACCAAATGATAACTTGTTTTATTGAAGATATGGATTAACATATCTCAGAAACTAAAAATCACACCTGCGTACTGTAAGCGAGGGAATTGTTCAGCATTTCATCCTCTCAGTAATGGGCTATTATTCAAAATTGTATCTTAACGCAACGCCCTGTTAGAGAGGCGAAAAGGGGAAAATAGTGTCGAAATCCAAATGATAACGAGTTTTGTTGAAGATATGGATTAACATATCTCAGAAATTAAAAATCGGACCAGCATACAGTAAGCGAGGGAAATGTTCATAATTTCATCCTCTTTATAATAAACTATTATTTATAAGAGAGAAATACTTTATTAAAAGTAATACTGCCATACTACATAGAGTTGCTTCATACACATCATACTTATCAATCCATATGGACATTACTATTATATTACATTTTTCTATTTTTATATATATATATATGACACATCTTTCGTTTCTTTTCTTTTTCTCCCTTTTCATAACAATACTCTTATAAATTATAATATTAAACTGTAGACATCGCATAACAAACATTTTCACAAGATAAAAAAAAAAATTAAAAAATTTTCAAATGCCAGAAACTCAATACAACATCGCGCTCATATATACCACAGTAATTCCTCCAATATAGACAAAAAGATAAGATGATTATATACAAATTTAAAATTTAATAAATAATTAATACAAGACATTCTCAGTCACTATATAGATGATGATAGTGGATGATCCCAAAGGAGTCCAAAATAATATTCTCGGCCAATAATGCGAGCTCCCCAACATCAACACCTAGTTCCTCGAGGAAGTTTCTTGTTCTTTCCGGGATCGTTCCGCGAAACCCAAACCAGAGGCCTCTCACGGTGAACTCTCTCCGAAAGTCTCGCAGCATTTCTCTTTTAGGAAAGGGATGAATATATTTCATATTATTAATCTCGTCTTGTTGATGTTTTCACTTATATCATGTGATCTAAAGCACTCACCGCAATTCTTTTTTTTTTTTTAATACCTTTTTATTGAGAAACCATAATAATCGTATCACAAAATTCTACAACTTAACTAGGAAAAAAAGTTCTTCTCTTCCACTTCCTCGACAATGACCAATCAAAATGCTTTTTTTTTAGACGTCAAGAACCTTTTGTATTATGGATGCATTTTGGACTATCAAAATTATATTAGTACTACTGCTATTATCCTAACTTCTTATTTTGAAAAAAATTCTAATAATTGATCCTTCATGATTTAGATATTTAGATGTTGTGAGAAAGCTACAAACCGTATATAATATGGAACCAGCCGGTTCTAGAGGTGTCTGGGCCCTCGATGACTTCCAATTTATACCATTCTTATGGGGCTCTTCACAACTTATAGGTAAGATCTTTATAATGTATCAGGGTTTGAAAACGATAATTTAAAAAAATCAAAATTTATGTCTTGAATTTTTATTTTTGTTTGTAGTGATAAAAATCATGTCCTGATCATTATTTTTAAACAAAATTTTAATAATTAATAATTATAATAGTTTTTGTGTAATACTTTTTTAAATCAGAAGTTTAAATTTTGTGTTATAATCTGTATGATATACTTCGAATCTGGAGTAGTAGGTGAGAAATGTTGTTATCAAACATTAGGGACAGAACATCTTTATTTTTCTATGTCTAGAAATTTTGACTTAAAAAAAAAAAAAAAAAAAATATATATATATATATATATATATATATATATATATATATATAGTGCAGGTACCACATTCACAATAAAAGTGATTTCAGAAATATAATACTAAAAAGAAATGCGGAGATTAATAAAGTTTATTATACACCTTTATTGGAAGTGGGAAAAAATTATTTAATTAATTAATGTAACAGTTAAAAAGCAAGCTAATCTAGTTTAGTTTCACTAGTTCAGAGAAAAGGGAATGGCTACTCTGTAGTTTTTCCAAAAAAGGAAAATCCCAAAGAGAGGATGGAACAAAGGATTTTGTTTTGGCAGGCAGTTGTGTGACTGCACTGAAGAGAGGATAGGAGAAGATATCCTGACTCAAGTGGGAAAAACCCAGTAATAGTATTACCATCTTGAAAGTTGTTGTTTGGCAGAGAGGCGAATTGTTTGGAATTACAAGATAGAGTATATCCCAGAGAGCTTGAGTTGAGTGTCACTAATTTGGAAGTTGTGTCTGGCAAAACATTGAAAGCATTTGAAGACAAATCAATTTAGTACAACAAAGGAAGAAACAGTGTATAAAGAAAAAAGGTTAGCTTGCCAATTCATACTTTACTTTATTTTAAAATTAGTGTTTAATTTTAGTGTAAATAATAATAGTTTTTCTGAGTTGATCTGATTGTCAGTAACCCACACCTGAGATAGAATAATTGTAAATTTCAATTTAATATATTAATACTCTCATAATTTTGTTTATTATTAATAACCTCTTATTTCTTTTGGAAGTATCCCAACGGTATAAAGTGATATACCATGAGGTTATATTATTATTTGTAAAGTATAAGAGAGAGGTTACAAAAGTATACATTCACGTTAATATTTTATTTTATTTGTGTTTGATAGGAAGAGTGGGGGGAGGGGAGCTCAATGGGTTAGCACTGACTTCCAGATCTCAAGGTTAGAGTCCAGCTGATGACTAATAATTTTTCATCAGCTGTGGATCGACCTCTATAAATTACTCTTAATCAAAATAATTAATCCAAGGGGAAAAAATGGATTTCAGCTCAATAACCTCCATGCAAAAAGAAAGAGGTGCCAAAAACCATAAAAATAACAGTTTTCAAGATAACTTTTCTGCCAATCCTGAATTCGAGCGAGTCTTGGACCTTAAAGAGTAAACATAAGAGCCAACTCCAAGCAATGGAGATGCGTTACCTCTGTAGTGTCGAAGGTAAAACAATGGGAGACCGAGTGAGGAATATTATTAGTAAGACTCAAGAGAAAAAATAGAAGAGCACCAGCTAAGATGGTTCGGACATGTCTCTCGAATGCTATAAGACAGAATTTTCACTCATTTTGTAAATAGCAAAGTTCTAAGTGCATTTCAACAAATTATATACATATATGTATATATATATATATATATATATATATATATATATATATATATATATATATATATATATATATATATATATATATATATAAAATCAAGTGTAGTGTATTTTATTATTAAACCAACTTCAAAAGTTAAATTACAACAATTAAAAGTAATGAAGAATTACCTGATAAGTTTTATAAGTCATGAAAAGTTTTTGTGCTTCAAATTTTTCAAATCCTTTTTTCACAAAATTGCGGTTAGACCAGTTAGAATCTTGTCGAACCAAGCTAGCGAATTATTTGCACCGGCCAATTAGTTTTAAAATTAATTAAGCATTGTTAACTTAGCAAGTTAAGATCATTTTATTATTATTATTTTTTTTTATTTATTTATCAACCCTGCCGTGCCTAGTAGGCAATACGGGTGTCTGCAATAGTAAGATGTTAGGCAGGTCAGCTTAACATCTCACTACTGCAAGTAAATCTTCTTCTTCTGCTCTTTCTTCATTTTTTTTTTCCCCTTTCTTCATGGTTGCTTTTCTCATCCGTTTTATTTCTAGAATGTATTGTAACGTTTTTTTAATTAATTATTTATTACGCTCTATTGCTTATTATATATTTTTTTTGTTTTTCAGACCATCCTGTTATAGAAACTAGCAAGTTTTATCTTGAGGATCTAGTCAATAGATATGCTGAAGATTATCTATTCATGGGATGTATAAAATTCATTAATTCCGTAAGTATTGATAATCCATGATTACACTGGAACTGCTATCTATATTGAAGTGTTATAATCAGAGGTCATCCCATAAGTAATGTCGGTTTTTAAAAATCTATCTGTTGATGTTGATATTACTAATCGATTTGTGGCCTTGGCTTGAAAAGGCTCTGACTAACAAATTTGAGCAAGTTGTGTTTTACTAGGAATAGACGATATTCGATATAACTATCAATAGTCCTAGTTATTTGATCGATAGTTCGTATCCTCCCTTTAGGCACAAATTATTTTAAAATTTTATATACTTAATGTAATAATTTTAATAACAAGTCTTCATACTGCTACCTATTAATTCATGTATGAAATATAATGATATTATAACAAAGTAAAAGATAAATGTTTGATGATGGAAAACGGTTATTGTACAATAGAAATGCCACATTAAGAAAATGAATAGATAGAAGTGTGAAGGTGTGTTTAAAATTATTCTTGTCAAAATAAAAAACCGAAACAAAATTGAACAAGAAGAAGCCTTCAAGGTAAAAATAATTCAATCTCAATTTACTTCATTAGAAATAATTTTATAACTTCAGTTGTGCCGATAGAAAAAAATGTTACATTAACTCACCTCTTTTATTTTTTTCTCACAAAAAAAAAATATATTTATAAAATCTAAAAGGATAACAGTTTTATTATATTTTAAACTATGTGCAATTGTCAAATTAAATTTAGAAAATTAGAATCTTGGAAATTAAAAGACATACATTTCTCGCCTCAACAATGCTACCCTTATGTCGTTGATGTTTCTTGTTTGAATTCAACAATCATTGAAATAAATGCAATTTAATTTAATTATTTCTGACTGATCACACCAACCATCCCTCTCTTCATTATTCACGACAGTCGACCATTAATCCACTATTATGAATCCAGTTGATGGAGTGAAAAATGAGGTGTTGTCTTTCTTTTATTCAAAACCAAAGGAATTTTTCAGAAAAAGTATACAAAATTTGGTTTCAAACTGGGCGGCAAACTGTTTTAGATTGATATGATAAATATATTTTAGATTGAAAGTTTTCATTAATTTTATTCTACCTCTTATATCTCACAATTAAATATTGGCATTAATGATGGGAAGACCTGATATTTTACATTAACATTTTAATGTTATTCATTTATTCATTGTAGCCAACTCTATTTTTTTGCCTCGAAAGGAAATAAAATATGAGCCTTTCAGTTGACAGAATGACCTAACTTCAATTTCAACATTTTTTAGTAAAGTCATTTTAGTGATATTTCTAGTTGAAAAATATATATCTGTACAGTAGTGTGTAAGTTGATTCCAGAGTAGTTGATTGATTTCAGTGTTGAAATATAGAACTGTGACTAAAGATATAAATTTTCTCACTAGAAATATCACCAAAATTAATAATAAAAATCTGGTGTGTCCACTCACACGACTTTCCTACCTATTTCAGAACAGTTTTTATATCTTTACATATGTTCATGAACAAACAAAAAAGAATTGAACTAAATTTATTTTCCTGAAAATTGATCAAACATAAGATTTGAATAAGATTTATTTGATAAACTAAAGCAATGAAACCGACTTAAGGTAGAACAGTGTAAAAATTTCAATACTCACTAATATTGCTGATCAAAAACTTTTTGCCATAGCTTAGTATTGTCAAACAATAATTTCTGTTAAAAGTAGAGGAAATAGTGAAGATTGTGTGATGCAGGCAGATTTTCTTACTTTCACTTAGTCATCTTTATTCTCTCATTCACCCCTTTCTGACACCAGGAAATGAACTCGTAATCTTTCATTGGAAATTGAATAGCTGTAACTTCGTTAATAGTTGTCCAAAATAAACAATTTTTATATAATCATTACCTTTCAAACGATAGGCTTAACGGAGTTTCATTTATTGCTATTGCGCATGGAGCACCGAATTTCTGTCACAGGCATCACTAGTCAAAACCCTAGAAAATAAAAAAAGAAACAACAAAATCCATTCACTAGTTCCCAAGAAAATCTTGGCACAGAAAGACAGACCAATGGCTAAAAATGTGTTTTTTTGGACTCAGAGGGCTGTGAAACGTATAGATCCGTCGAAAACCACATTTCGGAAATTTGACCCGATCGCAATACTTTCCTTACCTAGTATTGGTAGGAACGTAAAAATGTTGAAATTGGAGTTAGTCATTCGGTCAACTGAAAGGCCCATATGTTGAAGTTATTAGTAATATGGTTAATTTAAAAAAAAAAAAAAATTTTAAACACTGTTTTACTCTTAAATTTTTAGGTGAAAAAAGGACCTTTTGCGGAGCATTCAAATCAGCTTTGGAATATCAGTGGTGTTCCTTCCTGGGGAAAGGTTAACGCTGGTCTTATCCGAATGTATAAAGGAGAAGTGAGTGTCAATTACGATTAAATGTTATTCATTTTTTACTTGCTTGAAATAAACAAAATATGCAATTATACTGGTTTATCGAAAAGAAGTCGATTGAGGTTTTCAATCAATGAAAATTGAAAGTAATAATTAATAAATTATATTTTATTTTTATTTCCTTTGTGCCGAACTTGTTTCTCATACGTATTTTTCATAATTTTTTTAGTTTGTTATTTGAGAATAAACCAATGATGTTGATCTGTAATTTTGTCTTGAATGTTGCATTTTAATGTTTTTATTTATTTTTTACTTAATTGAAATTTATCATCAAACATTTTTTTTTTTTTTTTTTTTTTGTTCTTCCCTACCTCGCCTTTTAGGCTATACGGGATTTTCCCGGGCCGGGGGGAGAGGGCGGAGAATTTAAAAACCCCTCCAGCACCGGGACGCGAACTCGTACTTTTTATATCATCTCAAATCTCTGTTATCCGGTTGCCAGGCAACTAGCGGTGCTGTTACACACGCTTTAGCCTATTCGGCCACCCCGCCCTCATTTATCATCAAACATGAAACATTGGACTAATTGCATCTATATACACACTGATTCATAAAGACATTTGGTACTTTTCGTTAGGAGGCCTGGAAGAAATCTCCCTTCTTATCTCTTGAAAGCTTCGAGTTATTCTATTGTTTATTTTTGTTCCATTTGTGTTATTTTCATCAAATTATGGATGTTATTACATTCTGGGAATATATAATACAAAATATATATCCACCCTATCCTCACGTCTAACAAGGGAAAACCAAGCATGGCTGGAACAGCGTGGAATCGAGAATGTTGACGAATTTGTATATCTTGGTTCATTGATAAATGCACGAAACAACATTGATTGTGAAATAGACAGGAGGATCACAGTGGCTAATCGGTGCTATTTCTCCCTCCAGAGACATCTTCGCAGTAGAATGTTGTCAAGACAGGCCAAAATAAGAATATATAAAACTCTTATTAGACCAGTGCTCACATATGGCTGTGAGAGTTGGACCTTAACTAAAGCAGTTGAGAAATCCCTGCTCAGATTTGAAAGGAGGATTATACGACGCATATTTGAAGGGGTCCAGGCAACACCACAGAATTGGAGGAGAACGAAATAAAGACATTGTTTTATGACCTGGATGTGAGCCAATTCATCGTACTGGCAAGACTACACTGGGCGGGACATGTCGCGCGGATGGATATGAATGCACCCCCACAGAGAGCTATGAATGAGCCTGTGTTTGGAAACAGAGGAGTGGGAAGACCATGTTTGCGCTGGCAGGACTGTGTGGCTGCTGATGCATGTAGACTACTTGGTGTCAGAAATTGGAAGGCTGCAGCAACTAACCGGGAGAACTGGAGATCCATGCTGGAGCAGGCCAAGTCTCGAATAATTGGAATGTAGTGCCATTTAATAATAATAATTACATTCTGGGAATTACCGTCTTCAGAAGAAGAGGCTATTGAGTATTTTCAAAACGCTGGGATAATTCCAAACGTGAAATTGTGTGAAGAAGGTCATGTCATCAAATGAAGTTAGACATGAAGGTGAAATGGAGATGCTTTCGTAGGGCTTGAAAAAATAAGAAACATAGAGGAACTGCCAGACAACACCTCTATTCATATTTATGTGAATTTCTATGGCGGCGGCTTCACAGAGAAGAGGACCCGTTCCTCGCTATTTTAAATAGCATAAAACAATTTTGCCTACCAAAATAAATAAGGTGAAGTGAAAATAAATTGTATATATGCTGTTTATAGTGTTTATATTGTTTATTTTATATTTGCATATGTTTTTTTTATTATTACATTTATTTTTGTCTATTTCATATATGTGTTGTAAAATTAAGGTCTTTTCTCATTGTTGTGGGAATTATTACATTTCTTCTTGTCTATTCCAATTTCAAACCAAACTGTTTTGTAATTATTATGTTTGTTTTCTTCTATTTAATATATATGTTGTAAAATAAAAGTATTTTTTTATTATCACATTTGTTTTTGTTTACAATTTCTATAATATCAATATAATACAATAAATATGAATACGAAGATAAGAATTATGAGAAGCCTTATCAGAATTATCAGTGTTCAGGTTATAAACATTGGCAGATAGCATTCGGTCCTCTCCGGCTATCAGACAAGTACCAGATATTTGTTCAACAGTTTCTAAACTGCATGCAAACAAAATATGTAATTCCATATAAGTCTGGGCTTTGTTTATAACACATCTATAAAGTGATCTTAAAATCTAGTCAATTACATAAATAAACGGATCTAATAATAGCTCCTGTTTATATTATAAAATGGCAAAAATTGTCGTATATCAGTAACTTTGATATCATTTCTTAGTAACTTTTTATCACGTAAAGTCAGTTAAACGTTTTGTTTCTTCTTTATTACAGGTATTGGGAAAATTCCCGGTGATTCAGCATGTCTTATTTGGTACAGTTCTACCGTTCAGTAAATGTACGCAGCCTCCGACTGAAAAAGTAATCAACGCTTTCAAAACTCCCGGGACGGAATGTAAGCCGAAAGGATTATTCTCAGGCAGCGAGAGTTCCATTTCAACAGACCCCAAGTCGGAAGAAAGTAAGAGTACGAAATCTGACAACTCTGTCGGAAATGAAAAGGGCGCCAGGTAATATAACTTCATTTTTATTTATAACCATATGTGCACCCGGCCATGCATTGCTGTGGCTCATTCTGATTAAATAGAAAAAGAAATCAGATGGTTTTTAATATATATTATATAACAACACTTGTGCATATGCATTATTCTTTGTTGTTCCATTCTTTGTATAGATATAGAGATTGTCTGAATTTCAAACTCTAGAATTCCCAACATATAATTGTCGATGTAAGAAGCAATTGGTCTCTAAATCTCCCTAGAAAAAGAAGTAAATGTTTAAAGCATTATAGCTCTGCACCAAATTGTCCGATTTTAGTGATTTTTATTTTTAATTTGCAGGGAATCAAAGAAGCTTTCTAATAATGATGGGTATAATCAAACAAAAATTATGTATTTTTTGAGTTTTACGCAAATATAGTTTTGAACCCATTGCAGCTTTTTTTTCATACTCTTCGGGGAAGGATGTTATATTCATAAATCAAAAGGACTTCAAGGAGAAGACTTTAGTAAAGTTTAATTAAAATCGTTACAGCCGTTTAGAAACTGCAGTCTATACCGACTCATTTTTCGGCCTCCTTTCCGAAACAAAAGACCGGAGATTAATTAAATGTATATAAAAACACTTCTGAATCCGATAGAAACATTATGACACTATTTCAGAGCAAGCAGTGAAAAAATTTCGGAGATTAGCGGTTTTGAACAAAGGAACATTTACGTTTTTATTAATATAGATTGTATCATTCAAACTCAAATCAAAAATCTTTTTAGTTGGATATTTCTTTAAAATAGTAGAATAGTGCACTGTATCGAAAGTCTTAGGAGAGAAGTTTGACATTTATTTTTTTATTTATTTTTCATATTTCTAGAACTCGATTATGAAAGTTTTGAGAATTTCCAATATTCTAATTTTAAAAAAACAAAAAACATTTCACTTATGACAATTTATTTGAAATAATTAAATTTATAAAATTAGTTATTATTATTTTTATTTTTTTTCTGTTGCCTTTTTAGACCTATATACGTTTTGCCACCTTAATCAGTCTTCTCCATCTCTGCCTTTCTTGTGCTATTTCTTTCCAGTTATCTGCAGCCAGCTCTATTGCATCTTTGTTGATTAGATCTATCCATCTGGTTTTCGACCTTCTGTGTGGTCTCTCGCCTACTGTTGAGGCATTTATTTATTGTTGAAGCTTCCTGATGTATCGCTTCGAGCTACATGTCCTACTCATTCTAATCTCTTTGGCTTCATATTATGAGATATTAATTGATAAGCGGTTCTTTGTAGGTCCTTCTTCATGCGTTAGTATTCTTCTGAATCCAGATCGCTCCTGTTATTGTGCAAAGGATTTTTCTCTCAAATTTTTTAACATTTCTTTCTAAGGTGCTCGTTAGTGTTCAGGTCTCACAATTGTATATCAGAACTGTCTTTTTCTTAGCATATTTCATAGAAGGTGTTTATTGTCTTAATCCAAACTGAGAAATAATTTAAAATAATTATGTAAAATAAATATAATTTGGTTCAGAAACTGTTTGTTTACTTTTCAACGGAAACGTAACCTAACAGTGAGGTTACGTTCCCTTCAAAAAGTAAACGAAACAATTTCTGAATCAAATAATATTTATTTTAATCAATAATTAATTCTCAGGTTGGGTTGAGACAACTAACACACATCCTCAATTATACAATATAAAAGCATACATTAATTGTACAGAACATTTTTATGAATTTCCATTCATTTGTCGGGGTCTAATCTTGGCACACTTTCGAACTGTCTATTTATATTTCACTCACCGTGTTCTGCAGTGAATCTTCCTCTGTATTGTATCCAACTTTTACAACTTTCTCCTGTTCTTTTAATGGCACTCACTATGTGTTAACTCATTTTCTTCTCTCGATCCTCTTTACTAGCCGGCTGGTTACGTTCTGCCTTAACATATGGCTCTTCATCCCTCACCATCTGTCATTCTTTGTCCATTTTAGGTAGTAGTTCGTGACGTTACTACCTTCACGCCACTATTCAAAATCACTATGTAATATTTACATTACATTATATACATAATATTGTTGGAGTATTTACTGTATTAAGCTCATGGTTACGTATGGAAACATGTTCAAGTCTTTCAAGTGCACTCGTATTCCTCCATTACAACTATTCTTCATTACAATCTCTTATTTCTCCTTTACTTAATTATCAAATTCTTTCATATTTTATATTTAAATATTTTTTATATCAGAGATCAATGTGAATTGGAGTCAGGGGACCTCAAAACGTGAGATATTAATTGATAAGCAGTTCTTTGTAAATCCTTCTTCGTCATATATTAGTATTCTTCTGAATCCAGATCGGTCCTGTTATTGTGCAAAGGAATTTTCTCTCAAATTTTTTAACATTTTTTTCTAGGGTGCTGGTTAGCATTCAGGTCTCGCAATTGTATATCAGAACTGGCTTTTTCTTAGCATAGTATATCCTTAAGTTCTAGAATGTGATGGCCAAGCAAATGGGGGCGTGGATTCCCAGAGCGCCGATTCTGAACTTTGTGAGTTTGATTCACACCTGGTTTAGTTAATGTTTGTTTCTCGGGGAACCTAGGAATTGTATCTTCACACTCCCACTCTGATTAGTATGCAGCAGTAACCTCTTCCACCATTCACAATACCAGTACATCCTTAATTTCAGATTTGTAAAAATTTTTCTATAAGAGGAAGATGTGCATCTCTACTGTAATGACGAGGAGCTTGAAGCTGTCGATGAGTTCACTTACCTGGGAACAGTAGTTAGCAATACTGTCACTGTTGATAAAGAAGTGTCCAGCAGAATCGGAAAAGCAAATAAAATCTACTATCAGATCTGCAAGACAATTTTAGGCAAGAGAAAAGTCCCCAGCCAGGTCAAGCTCCTTATCTTTAAACCTGTGCTTCTGATGACTCTACTGTATAGCTCAGAGAGTTGGGTGACACTGGACCGACATATTAGCCGTTTGATTGCCATAGAAATTTAAAGGTATTTACGCAGAGTGTCAGGTAAAACAAGAAGGAATCGCATCAGAAATGAACCCCCATTTGTCTGGCCATCGAATTCTCGATATTAAGGATATACAATACTAAGAAAAAGTGAGTTCTGATATACAGTTGCGAGACCTGGATACTAACCAGCACCCTAGAAATAAATGCTTATATATTAATATTGATATTACCGAAATTTTTGCAGTTTATGTAAAATAGTGAATAAAAGTTTAGTGTAATTTTGTAAAAAGTTAAGTAACTTTTTTCTTTATCAAAGAATAGTTGTTTAAGCAAAAGACACGGAAATAAAATCTAAACTATTTCTCATTAGGCTTTATCTATTATAACAATTCTAAATTTATATGTTGTGTACTGTTTTATTACTTTTGATCATTTGTCGTTTGTCTGTTTCAGGGATTGTTCTGATACAGTCGCTCCTTGGGCCAAGGCCAAGAATCTCTAATGCTAAGGAAATGTAATTTAAAAAAATAAAAAGTATTGAAACTATCTTTACAAGTTTAACATTATTAATTAATTAATAGATTTATTTTAATTACTATATTTTTTTTTCCTTTTATCTTCCCTTTTTTTTATTTCCTTTGTGCTTATGATTTGTTTTGTTTTTTAATCCTGATTTTAAATTTAAAAATCTCTCTTCATAAAATTATGTTTATTCAACTCATATTTCCTTGCTTTTCATTTTGTATTATTGCAATTAGATAAAACTTATGATATAAACATATCATGCCAATTATTATTCTTGTCATCCCTAACATACGAAATATAGTATAATAGTTAATGAGTTTATAAAGTTAAGATCTTCATCAGTGATGCTGCATGTTCCCTGGTTATGTTTAGAAAATTAACCAGTGTGAACAATGTGGCCGGAATTTTAATTATGATAAAACAAAATATATATTGACAGAGAACGATGAGTTGAGTGACCCTGTAGGTTGCACAAATTATGCTACCTTTGATCAACACTTAAAAGCAATGGAAGAGGAAGGAAGGATATTGAAAAAAGAGTGACAAATAGGCGGAAAGTAATTGGTATGCTCAATTCAGTTCTCTAGAATAAAAATATTTATTCTAAAGTAAAGAAATTAATATATAAGACCCTGGTAGAGAGTTTAATGCTCTATAGTTTGGAAACATGGCTGCTCAAGAAATCACAGAGACCCTCCACAATCAGACAGAAGGAGGCGGGGTGCCCGAGTGGACTAATGCGTGTGCATAACCTGCATTTTCCGACAAACCTGATAAATAGAAATTTACTTACTATTCATACTTAAGTGTGTATGCCTATAGGTCAGTTAAATAAAAATCAATATTAGCTTTTGATAGTTATTTATTGAACTTTTTGGGGAATCTGTGTCTTCCTCCTAAGTAATTTATACGACTAACACATTTTAGGTTCAATTTAGAAAACAGTCATTATTAACTGAAATACACAACACTAAACAATTCTTCAAATAAATATAAATTATCTTACAAACATTTTTTTTTTTTTAAATTATACGTAACTTTTTTGCTCTAAAAAAAAATGGGATAAGTCACAAGGATGTAACAACAATGATTTTTTTGGGAGAATAAAATGTAAGTTACCTATATCTTTTTGAAAAATGTTTGTAAGGTAATTTATGAATTATTGAAGGAAGCTAGTCGATTGCTTTACATATCATTGGTGATAAATATTCAGGACGCAGTTATTATAAAAATTTTTATTTGTGCCAACGTTTCAACCCAAACATGTGGGTTGAAACGTTGGCACAAGTAAAATTTTTATCACCCATAAGGTAATTTATATTTATTTGAAGAATTGTTTTGTGTTTTAGTTAATAATGACTGATTTTTAAATTGAATCTTGAATCTGATTTTCTAAAGATGGATTTTTGGAGATTAGTTAGAATCTCAAAATCAGAAAAACTATAAGAGAGAATGGAAGTTAAGAATAATATATTAGAGATAATGGAAGAAAAGAGATTAAAGTGGTTTGGGCATATGAAAAGGATGAATAATGAATGACTTACCAAAACGGCATTTGAGTGAGAAGCTGAGGGTAGGGGAAGGAGAGAAAGACCTCATGTCAGATATACTGGTACTGGTACTGCGTTGGGGGACTAGTCCGGCAAGTGGGCCTATAGTGGTCCTTTTTGCCAAACCCTGACGGCTACCTTTAAGGTTTCCGCCGCGTACTTGCCAGAGTGGGAATATCAAGATCCATTTCCCGGGGCTGCCGAGAAATGAAAAGTAACCAACCCAGGTGGGAATCGAACCCACAACATTCAGAACCGGACACTCTAGGACCCCAACGTGCTCGGCCATCCCGTCCTCTATGTCAGGTATAGAGATGTGGCTGAGAGTATGGCCGGGTGAGGGCTGACGGAGGAGAAAACAACTAAGGGAGGAATTTGGCTGAGGGAAACTTCAATTTATGAAGAAAACGCCCTTAAATAAATAATTAATTTTAAAAAGTGAAATAAATAACAGATTTAAATAGAGAAAGGAGTAAAGAAAAAAGTTTATGAGATCTGTCAGAATTTTTATCCAAAAAGTTTCATTAATAATGTTCATGAACTAAACTTTAAGAAACCTAAAACTGTAGAAACTAAGAATAAAATGTTAGTTCACTTTATATTTTGAAATGGCCATCATAAAAAGATTATTCCTTATAGAAAAATTGAAGTCCTTTAAAAATTATTATGTTGCTAAATTCATAATAAGTCTCAGAACAAAGAAAATAGTTTTTAAATTATTATATTAACAACGGAAAATGTATTGAATAAAAACATTACTTTATTGAAACCATCAATACGCATTTATTATCAAAGATAGAACATGAAATTTGATTGTATCTCAGTTCGTAAATATATTGATCAACAGTTTAAAAACTGCATGTAAATAAAATAAGAAATTAAATTCCATTGGCTGAATTAAATGGAGCTTAAATAAGTTTGAAAACATTTGAAGCAAGACAGCAATAACTTCTATTTTCTTACTATTTAATAAGCTATAAAACCTCTTGCTACCATTAATAAAATAAGCATTATTTAAATTAAAAGGTGTTTATCATATAAGAACAGTAAATAGTATATTTTAGAATAATATTTATTACAATTTCGATTTTTTTTTCTGTAGACATTGTAGACCTTATAGATTTTTGCCGCCTTAATCATCCTTCTCCATTTTTGCCTATCTTAGACTATATCTCTCTATTACATCTTTGTTAATTCTATCTATCCATCTGATTTTTTGCATTCCACTTATTTTTTTTCTGGGTTATTTGGACTCAGGGGACCTCAAAACGTGTATTTCTATTGAAAGCCCAGATTCGAAAATTTTCCCTATATATATATATATATATATATATATATATATATATATATATATATATATATATTTCATATACTGATAAGAGAAAGTAAAAATTACAGGTAAATGTTAAATAAGCTTATTAACCTTTCAATACCAAATACAATAAAGAAACTTAAAATCAAAAGTGAGATATTTGTTCCTTTTCGAAACAATAACAAATAAAATACTAAAAAAAAAAATAGTATATATACTATAAAATCAAATATTGTTAAAATAAATGTATCTAATAAACATTAATCAATATTTTAAATTAGTACCTGTTATCCATTAGGTGTCACATGATTCATAGCTGTAAACAAAATAAATAATTCATTACTCAAAAATTTATAAAATCTATTTATACTTCATTATTGAATTTGAATTTGTATATTTTCAACAAAATAATTTATAATTGTGGGTAAATGGTTGACTGTCATGAATAATGAAGAGAAGAAATAGTTGTGGTGATCAATCAAATAATAAGGCAAAAATAAATATTATCATTTATTTTTGCCTTCTTATTTGACTGATCACCCCAACTAGTTTTCTCTTAAAATAATTTATAAAAGAAAATAATTTAAATGATTTCAAATCATTCTTTATTTAATAATAAGTTTCCTTTATGCTTTAAATTAATATTATATTTGAAATTAGCTTCTTAGATAAGAGTAAGGAAAAAACAATAAAAAATTAATACAATTTTTTTTTAAAATAAGAAATAAATAATATGGTATACAACTTACCCATGATTTCTCGGAGATATCGGATGCTTCTTTCTTGAAGTTCACTACCCACCAAGGTCTTTAAACCTAGCAGATTTCGAATAGAAAAAACCGAATGTCCACGGCGGTAATTAAGAAAATTCACTTCAACACAAAGTACACTTTTAAATATCACAATACAATCAATATACTGAGCGACACACCCGAACCGTACCGCACCAAAGTAATTAAAGATTTATCTAAACAAAATAAAATAAATTTAAAAAAACAAGCCACTGCTCTGCACCTATAATAAAAAGCATATTAATAAAAAACTTATGTCAATATTAATAATAATTAAATCAAAGTAAATGAGAAACTTTCTTTTATGATGAGTATAAAATAATATTTATATTAATTTATAAACAACTCCACATAGAGAATCATAATGACTTGATGGTTATAGTAATGATAAAGAGATTAAAATGACTAAATAAACTGAATTTAGTTAATGTGATTTAATTAAAAATAAAACCTACAGAATTTTAATATTACTAACGAATATCTGTACTTTTTTTATTTTTCTTAAAAAATAATATAAATTATAATTAACTTATATATTTAATTTAAGTAGCAGAATATCTTAGTGAGTAAGGCACTATCCTCTTCAGCTTGGTTTCGAGTCTACCTGTTACATCAGCTGTGTGGGCACACCCAGCCTCTATAGAACGGGTACCCTTAATTAGGTAGGAAAACCTGGCATTTAAGTGTGACCCTGGCCAAATAACATCGTTGAACAACCATTGAACTTGAAACTGTTCTTCCTTGCAAAGTACTCAACCCAAGACTCTCCATGGGTTGCAGTGATACATATTTTTTATTTTATTTAAAATATTCAAAGATTTTAAATTGTTTTACAAACTAAGAAAATTTTTGGAGAGAAGAATAGTTGGGGTGATCAGTCAAATAAGAAGGCAAAAATAAATGATACTATTTATTTTGACATTAGCCGACGTTTCGACTTGAAGTTCAAGCCATCATCAGTGCTAAGAAAAGAACCAGATAACAAGGTATGAGAAACATAAGTAGTGTAGGAAAAAAATTAAAGTAAAATTCAGTTGTTAGAATAATGACAATAGTAAGAACAAAGAGATAAATGATAATAAGCGGTACAAAGTGTGGAATGATGGAGTAAACATAATAAAAAAAACGTGACTTAAGTATTAAAATGGGAATCTTAGAATAAAATGTAAAAACAGAAAAATATGAAGTTATATAAGAAATGGAAATAAACAGTAAAATTAAGATATTGTGAATAGAATAGTTAGATAGAAAATTAAGATGTAAAGTCTATCAAGATGTATAGACAACGTATAATATAATACAGAGTTAAAACAGAGCAGAGAGATGAAAGGAAGGAGGAAGGAAACTGAGAAGGTTGAAATAAGAAAGAGGATAAGAAAGAAAAATAAAGAGAAGACCCACCTGCTTACGGAGATGTAA